GATTAACAATAACAATATTAAACGTAAAATATTTAAATTTCTTGGAAAATAAAGTTTTAATTTTATAATCATCTTGAAACATTATCAAGTAGTTTAAGCCATTTTTTTAATGATGAAATTGCTCTTCCAATCTTTCACTAAGTTATTATATTTATGTCCTAGTATCACATCTTTTAATATTTTTAGTTGCATTTTCATTTCATTCATGATACTTGGGTAATTAGATCAAACTCATCATAATTTCTTCTTATTTCTCTAGAAATTAGTGAGTATGAATTAATGGAAGGAGTTATCAATAGGAAAATCAATTAAGAATAATAAGTATAATATTTAAAAATAATAATAATAAATAAAACAAACAGGTCAACCCGTCAACCCGCGAGTTGACCTTTACCCGACCTGTGACCAATACGGGTTGATAATACATGTTATTTATGGGTTACGGGTTGAGATATATGGACCTTAACCCATTTTTACGGGTTCGGTTAGGGTTGGGTTGACGGGTTGGGTAGATATTTGCTAGGTCTAGTTGTAGGAGGCTTTGTTTGTGTTGATCATAATGGCAAGAAAAGGTGGTAGTACAAAATTTGAGATTCCACATTTTGACGGATCAAATTTTGCACAATGGAAATTGAAGATGCATGCAATGCTCGTGAAGGATGGTTGTGCAGTTGCTCTCTTGCCAAGATAAAATATATCCGAAGGAATGATAGTTAAGCAATTCTCTGAGAATTACGAGATGGCCTTGGCAAATTTGCAGTTGGCATTGGAAGACATTGTTCTATTCAATGTAGAGACAAAGTCAACTGCAAAAGGGCTTTGGGAAAAGCTTAAGAATATTTATGAAGGCAAGTCACTGGCAAACAAGATTTTTCTAAGGCGGTAGCTTTACAACTTGAAGATGAAAGATGGGGGGTCAGTGCAAGAACACCTTAATGAATTCAATTCCCTTGCTAGTAAGCTTCTGTCTCTTGATGTTAAAATTGATGATGAAGAGAAAGGAAGTATCTTATTATGTTTTATGCTTGACTCTTAGGATAACCTGATTATGAGTTTGAGCCATGTAAAGGTTCTTGATATGGACTCCGTTGTAGCATCACTATTAACTGAGGAGATGTGGCGAAAATCTAGCCAATCTAGTCCTAGAGATGCTATGTATGCACGTGGTAGATTCATTGAAAGAAGCTTTGGAGATTGGTCTAGATCCAAGTCTAAAGGGAAGAAGAAAATGAGATGATGGAACTGTGGAAAGTTAAGGCATGTGAGGAAGGACTGTAGAGCAAAGAAAGGTGAGCATTCTAGTATTGATAATTTCCAAGGAAATCTTGTATAGAGTTTTGATTTTGCAGAAGATAGGGATACCTTAACTACATTAAGATGGGGATTCTTGATTTAGGTGCCTCTTTCCACATGACACCTCACCAGGAATGGTTCCATACTTACAAGTCTTATGTTGGTGGTGTCGTTTACATGGGTGACAATGGTGAATGCCAACTAGTCAGAACCAGAGATGTGTGCATCAATATGTTTGATGGTTGTATTTAGACAATCTCCAATGTTCGACTTGGACCTGCATTGAAGAAGAGTCTTCTGTCCTCGGGAAAATTTGACAAGCTTGGTATGAAATTCATAAGGGAGAATCGTCAACTAAAGGTAGTCAAGGGCATTATGGTTGTGGCAAAGGGTGGATTGGTTAGGAATTTATATAGATTGGTGGACGAGACTTTAGTGGGAGAAGCTGTTGTTGTAAGTACCAAGTCTGAGTCCTCTTTTGTTTGGCATAAACAGTTGGGACATATGAGTGACCGCGAGCTTCAAGTACTATCTAATCAAAAACTTCTTCTTGGTTTCAAGACCGACTCATTAAGTTTCTATGAAGATTGTGTGTTTGGAAAACAACACAAGCTGTCTTTTTTTTTTTTTTTTTGTCGACAAATAGAAGCCATAAATTCCTTGACTTAATTCATGCTGACACTTCTCAAGTACCTTCTATTTCTATTGATGGGTGTTCTTATTTTGTGACATTCATTGATGATTTCCCCAAGAAGGTATGGATTTTCATGCTCAAAAATAAATTTGATGCTTTTAAAAAATTTATAAGGTTTTAAAGCATTAGTAGAAAGTCAAAAAGGCATGAAAATTAAGTGTCTTTCAATTGATAATGGGGGAGAAATTTGTAGCAAGGAGTTCGATGATTTTTGCAATGAGCATGGTATTAAAAGACATGTTACAGTACCAAGAACATTACAACAGAATGGGGTTGCAGAGAGAATGAATCGAACTCTCATGGAGTTTGCTAGATGTATGATGAGCATTGCAAAATTGGGGAAGGAATTTTGGGCTAAAGTTGTTAATATTGCATGTTATCTAATCAACTGCTCACCCATTGTTTCTCTCAAGATGAAAACTTTGGAAGAGGTTTGGTTTGGTAAATCTACAAACTATTCTTTTCTTCGAATATTTGGATATGATGCTTATGTTTGGGTGCCTAAGGAGAAAAGAACCAAAGTTGGCAAAAATTCAAAAAGATGTATTTTTCTTGGCTATGAGATACGTACAAAGGGTATAGATTGTGGGATCTTACTACTTGCAAGATTATTGTTAGCTAAGATGTGGTTTTTAATGAAGATGTTTTTTGAGGCACAACTAAAAAAGGAAGAAGCAAGGAAGATTGTTATTGAGCAAGAAGTTAGTTTAATGCTATATAGGAGGAAAATATTCAAAATGATCCTCCATCTGAGTCTAAGCCTGAGTCTTTGAGCTTTTTCATGAAAGAATTTCATTTGGTGATGCTGTTTCACCATGACCTCGAAGGGCCACTAAACCTCCTGTGAGGTATGATGACTATACGTTACATTTTTTAAGCCTCAATCTAATTATGTATGTGCTTATCTTGCTCTGTCAAAAGAACATGAGCCAACTTCTTTCAAAGAGGCTTATGAGTCTGTCAATTTTGACCAGTGGAGATGTGTAATGGAGGAGGAGATGGAGTCTTTGTACAAGAATAAAACTTGGGATCTTGTTTAGCTACCAGAAGGTCGAAAGGCAATTGGATGTCATTAGATATACAAGTTGAAGAAAGACTTAGAAGGGAATATAGAAAGATGCAAAGAAGGGAATATAGAAAGATGCAAAGCCAGACAAAGCCAAGCTTGTGATTAAAGGGTAGGTATGCCCAAAAACCTGATATTGATTTTGATGAAGTTTTCTCACCAATTGTTCGTTGACTACCATTAGAGTTGTTTTAGCTCTTGTTGCTTCTCTTGATCTTGAGTTAGAACAACTAGATGTCAAGACAGCTTTCTTGCATGGTGACTTGAATGAAGAAATTTATATGACACAACCTAAAGGCTTTGTTGAAGAAAATAATAGAAGTTTGGTTTGTCGGCTGAACAAATTGGCTTACGGTCTGAAACAAGCACCTAGATGATGATATAAGCAATTTGATTCCTTCATCATGAGCTTGGGATTTTATAGATGTGAAGCTTATCATTGTGCTTATTTTTGTGATTATAATGTTGGATGCTTCTATATCTTGTTATTGTATATAGATGCCAGATTCTTGTTATTTGTTGAAGCCACATTTTTAGTAGGAGAGTTACAACAAACTTTTATTTTTTCTTTGTGTTTTCGCTATCTATAAATAAGGAGAATGACCCGTTGTACTATGTGTCAATTTCTCATCTTTTCATCATATTTTCTTCTTGAAGTTGTTCGCTTTCAATATTTACAATAAAGTCATTTTAGCTTTCAATCACTCTACTTCTTATTCTTCAATTTATTGTCTTTTAGTTCCTCTCTTTCTATATGCATAAACACCATTCTACACTTGATCAATTTTTATTTTATCAGGACATGGTTATAATGATATATAATTCTTCAAAATATATCACGTTTTGCTTATCCTAAAAATTAACAAAACCAAGAGAAATAGGTAACATGATAAAATTTTAGATAGGTTATTTGGTTACTCACAGAATGTGTTGCTTAACATGATCAGAATACAAGACTGTTTAATTCAGCAATGGTGATATCCGTTTTCCAGTTCAAACTAGCAAAAAAATTTGATTTGTACATAGGCCAGTCCAGTTGGAAAGACACCAAAAAACATGTGGCAGGGTAGGCGGGTGCCATTTAGAATATCCTTCTAAATCAAAATTCAATTCTTGTTTCAAAACTCTCCCCAATTCTTTAAAATGGAAAACCTGAGGTTTTGCAAAAATGAATTCAAAACTCGAATGGGTTGGCTTGCCTAAGAACCTCATTTTGCAAGTATGAGGCGGCAATCAAGGAGGAAACAATCAAAGGAATAATAACTGAGGAATATTGCCAATAATTGCATAGATTGTATCAGACCGTTTTCTCATTATTCTTGCCTTTTCCATTTGCTTGAGTTTAGGCTAAATATCTGTCATTAGTCTGTATATAAAGTTTGTGTACTGTACACCCTTTTCACTCAATTCAATTGAATCTTCACATATTCTTCTATCACTGCACAGAAATTATCATGGTATCAGAGCACTAGGTGACAGCAAGATTTTGCTGCAGCTTGTGACACAAGGCTTTGCTGCAATTGAGACTCAAAACATGGCCGATGAAGACTCCACAACAAAGGTCACCTCTCGGAAGACAGGGGGAGCAAAGGAAACGATGAAAACAACAGATCCTGACTCACCATATTACCTGCATCCGAGTGATGATCCTGGAAGAATCTTGGTGACATCTTCTCTGACCGGGGACAACTACCATACATGGAAGAGAGCACTGCAAAATGCTTTGTATGCCAAAAACAAAATGGGATTTGTGGATGGCACACTCAAGAAGCCAGCCGCAGATTCACAAGAATTTCAAGCTTGGAAAAAGTGCAACTCCATGGTTCTTTCATGGATTTTAAACACCATATCTCGAGAACTCCATGACAGTGTTGCATACGCTGACAGTGCACGGGAAGTTTGGACAGATTTGCAGGAGCGCTTTTCACAAGGAAATGCAACCAGAGTGCATGAATTGAAGCACGAACTGGCCACTATCACCCAACAGACCAGGTCAGTTGCAGCATATTTCACTAAGTTGAAGCCGATCTGGGATGAACTGCAAGCATACGAACCAATACCAGTGTGTTCTTGTGGCTGCACTTGTGGGGCTGCAAAGGAATATGGTAAAACTCGAGAAACAGAAAAAGTGCATCAATTTTTGATGGGACTAAATGAAAACTTTTCCACTTTGCGTTCTCAAATTTTGAATCTGGAACCATTACCCTCCTTGAATAAAGTGTATGCCATGGCTACAAAAGAAGAGAAACAACAAGCAGTAGCTGCTGCTCGGGGACCAACAATTGAAGCAACAGCCCTGGTGGCAAAGACAAGCATCCATGGTCGGCCAACTTCTTCTGGAAAGCCACGATGTGATCACTGTAAGAAAGTGGGGCACACCAAAGAAAGATGCTTTGAAATCATTGGCTACCCAGCACACTGGAAACCCATTGGTGGTAAAGGAAAAGGTAGAGGCGATGGGCAAAGAAATCAAAGCCAAGAAAAGGAGTTAATCTTTGCAGCCAACGTAAGCCAAGACTCAGCAGGCATGGCAGGCCAATCTCCAATATCCGGACTGTCCAAGGAGCAGTATGATCAACTCCTCACACTTCTTGGTGGTAATTCAGTCATTAGTCATTCAGCAAACTTGGCTGGTAAGATGCAAATTACACCCTTTTCTTGGATTATTGATAGTGGAGCATCAGACCATATGACACCAAATTTATCTAGACTTACTAAAGCCAAGCCTTATACCTTCCCTGTCCACATACCAAATGGATCCTCATTAGAAGTATCTCACATAGGGAAAGCCACGTTGAGCCATAATCTCAGCTTGGAAAATGTCCTTTGTGTTCCACAATTTACTTGCAATCTCCTATCTGTTAGCAAGATCACTAAGCAACTTAATTGTGCTGTTATATTTTTTCCTGATTTTTGTGTTTTTCAGGACCTTACCTCGAAGAGGTTGATTGGAATGGGTAAACTACATGAAGGGATCTATTATTGTGATTTTGGGCACATTGCAGCGGCTAGTCAAATAAAGCGGAAGGAAAGCTTGTCTTTTGAAGTGTGGCATAAAAGGCTTGGCCACATTTCCTTAGATAGATTATCCAAAATCCCTTCCTTATGTTCTTGCCCCTCTAATATTAAGCATGTTTGTGATGTTTGTCACAGAGCTAAACAAACAAGATTACCATTTCCTATTAGTAAGAATGTTTCTAATCGTATATTTGCGTTAATCCATTGTGATATTTGGGGTAGATATGCTACATCTTCTTTTACTGGTGCACATTATTTTTTGACTATTGTAGATGATTTTTCTCGTTGCACATGGGTTTACCTTTTAAAACACAAGTCTGAAGCTGCCTTATATTTAGTGAATTTTTGTAACATGGTTGAAACTCAATTTGAAACTCATGTTCAGCAGATGCGCAGTGATAATGGGAAGGAATTCACTGAGGGACTTGTGAAAGATTTTTGTCAAAAAAAGGGAATCCTTCAACAAACATCATGTGTCAACACACCACAACAAAATGGGGTAGTTGAACGAAAGCATCGCCATTTGCTTGAGGTAGCACGAGCTTTATGCTTTCAAGCCAATCTACCTCTAAAATTTTGGGGTGAGTGCATACTTACAGCCACTTATTTGATTAATTTAACCCCTACTCCAGTTCTTTTTGGACTCACTCCTTTTGAAAAGTTTTTTCAAAAGGCACCATGCTATGATCATTTAAAAATTTTTGGATGCCTTTGTTATGCTCATAATCATTCTAAAAATCGTACTAAATTTGATTCTAGAGCATCAAAATGTGTTTTCATTGGTTACCCTTTTGGAAAACGTGGTTATAGACTGTATGATCTTGAAACCAATGAAATTTTTATTTCTAGAGATGTCATTTTTCATGAAGAGATTTTTCCATACAAGACACCTAAGACACATGCACAAACCTTGGCATTGTCTAATCCAAGTGCTAGAGACTCATTGTTTGAAGAACCATCCTTAATGGATAAAGCTATTGACAAAACAAGAAATGAGTCTCATTCCTTCGAAAATGTTGAAATGACATTGGGTGAGAGTCCTGAGCTGGTGGAAAACAATATGCAATGCACAACCCAGATGGAATCTGCGACCGATCTTGCTACCCAACCATCGCAACCTGTCAGGCCACAGCGTCAAAGACATGCACCTAAACACCTTGAGGATTTCATCTGCGACATGCCTCCATCAATTGATCCCAAGCACACTCCATTCCATTCGGCAAATTCAGGTACACTTTATCCTATTTCTCACCATCTATCATATGAATCTTTCTCACCCAATCACACAGCCTTTCTTGCGGCCATCACTTCCAATGATGAGCCTAGTTCATTTTCACAGGCCATTAAGAATGAAAAGTGGAGAGAAGCAATGAGGAAAGAGATCACTGCCCTTGAGGAGAATGGCACTTGGACACTTGAGCGTTTACCTCCCGATAAACGAGCTATTGATTCGAAATGGGTCTACAAGATTAAGTACAAACCAGATGGTTCGATCGAACGCTATAAGGCAAGACTTGTGGCCAAAGGTTTTACACAAATTGAAGGCTTGGACTACCATGAAACATTCGCCCCCGTTGCAAAGTTGGTAACTGTAAGAGTACTTCTGGCACTTGCTTCCATTAGGCGATGGAAACTACACCAACTCGATGTAAACAATGCCTTTTTGCAAGGAGATTTGCAAGAGGAGGTTTACATGAAAATTCCACAAGGATTTACTTGTCGGAATAGTAATATAGTGTGTCGATTACGGAAGTCTCTCTATGGACTAAAGCAAGCCTCCCGCAATTGGTTTGAGAAGTTCACCAACTGTCTAAAGGCTACAGGTTTTGTTCAATCACTTGCTGATTATTCACTCTTTACCTTTACTCATAATCACAGCTTCATTGCAGTTTTAATATACGTGGATGACATCATTATCACTGGAAATGATACCACAAGAATCAATGCTCTGAAGAAGTATCTGCACACAAAGTTCTCCATAAAAGATCTTGGGCCTTTGAAATACTTCCTTGGAATTGAGGTGGCATGTACCACTGAAGGAATTGTCTTAAGTCAAAGAAAATATGCCCTTGACATCCTCACTGAAACAGGGACTATTGGAGCTCGACCAAGCCCTTTTCCTATGGAGCAGCATCACCAATTACATTCTGCCACAGGGCCACTTCTTTCAAATCCTGCTCAATATCGAAGATTGGTGGGGCGTCTCTTATATTTGACAATCACAAGACTAGATATCTGTTATTCTGTAAGCATACTTACACAATTTATGCAAAACCCAAGGCAAGAGCATCATGAAGCAGCCATGAGAGTATTACGATACATCAAGACTTCACCTGGACAGGGTATTCTCCTATCCTCTACAAGTCCCATCCATCTTACGGCTTATTGTGATGCCGATTGGGCAGAATGCTCCCTTACCAGACGTTCCACAACTGGGTATTTTATTTGTCTCGGCAACTCACCTGTTTCATGGAAATCAAAGAAACAAGCAACAGTTTCCAGGTCTTCTGTAGAGGCTGAATATCGAGCAATGGCAATGACTGTGAGTGAATTGATATGGTTAAAATCCTTGCTTCGTGATCTTGGAATGTATTTACAACAACCTATGACACTGTTCTGTGACAATCAAGCAGCCTTACACATAGCTACTAATCCAGTCTTCCATGAGCGAACCAAACATATTGAAATAGATTGCCACTTCGTTCGTGAAAGAATACAGAGGAAAGAACTCCTCACCAAGCATGTTTCGTCTCAACAAAAAACAGCAGATATGTTCACCAAGGCCTTGGGGCGTGAACGTTTCTCCTTGCTTCTATCCAAGTTGGGCATTCGAGATCTTCATGCTCCAACTTGAGGGGGAGTATGAGGCGGCAATCAAGGAGGAAACAATCAAAGGAATAATAACTGAGGAATATTGCCAATAATTGCATAGATTGTATCAGACCGTTTTCTCATTATTCTTGCCTTTTCCATTTGCTTGAGTTTAGGCTAAATATCTGTCATTAGTCTGTATATAAAGTTTGTGTACTGTACACCCTTTTCACTCAATTCAATTGAATCTTCACATATTCTTCTATCACTGCACAGAAATTATCAGCAAGCAAGCTAATTCGTGGTTGTGGCTTTATCAATATGTTTGTGAATTCTTGTAATGCCAAGGCCAACCACTCATCCCCTTTCAAATAATTTGAAAAGCATGAGCCATTTTTGAGGCAATTGAATGCATGTTTTCAAAGCAAAATAAATAGAATATAATGTTTTGGGCAATTTACATGGGACTTCACTTCATAATCCATAAGAATAAAAATAAAAATAAAAATAAATTCAAGGAATGAATGAAGTACTAGTAACATTGAGGAGTGGCTTGACTTTGTTTACCTCATCAACAATTGGTTGTAGCAAGCTAGCTCTCCTAGGGGTTAACCTGGACAAAAAGGATTTGCAACCCAAATATATAAAAAAAGGAAGTAGAAGTCAAAGAAAAGTGTATCTATATATACTGAGTACTAAAGATTTTTCTAAATTCTCATATGAAAAGCATAAATTGGAGATGCCTGTTTTAGTTCACACCAAGGTCTTATTACCTCAAACACATCTATCTTAATGCGGGGGATGCTATGGTTGAGAGTCTGATAGTCTCCTTTCGGCTCAAAGCACTGTTGTTTTAGAAGTGGACACCTGCTGATGTGTAGTTCTCCAAGTGAGGGAGGGGAGGCTTTTCTTGGCAAAGATCGTAGGTTCGGGCAGCCAATTATATTTAGCTCTTTAAGGGAGTTTAGGTTTTAGAAGAGCTCACTAGGTATGAATTCCAAATCTGAAGAGAGGTTAAAGAAGAAGGCAGCTTAATATTCAGAGGCAATTTCTGCTCAATTGTCAAATCTTGAAGAAACGTAAGGTTTTTGACGTCCATGATCAAAGCCCCACTTGGGATTCTTAGACTCTGAAGCAATGTGAACTGGTACATTGTACTTGGCACACACTTGAGATTCTTACACCTTATTAATTGAAGATCTATTAAGTTTGGCGGTAAACCTCCATCTGGAATGAACTCAATGTTGGGGCAACCTATCATCCATAGCCTTCGAAGAGATTTCAGTTGGCACATCGTATCTGGGAAGGATTTGAAATTCTCACACTCGACCATTCTTAATTGCAGATTGAGGGTGCATAACTCTAGCTCTTCTGGCAAGGGCTCTAAAACTTCATAACTATAAATATATAATTCAACTTGATTGCTGATGTAATCAAGGTTGGGTAAACTTGTCAATATTTTACAATTGTCAATTTCAATGGATTGGAGTCCCGTATAATGTTGCAACATTTTCTCTGGAAATGATTCCAATGACTTGCTACCATCAACAACTGTAAATTTCTTGAGAAAAGTTGATAGCTGATGACAATCCTTGGAAGAATGCAAACATGGAACATTCCTTATTTCCAAATGTAGATTGCTACTATTATTGTCACCATCAGCATCCGATAAAGACTCAAGACCATTATAGGTTTCTATTCTCAAGTGTTTAAGCGAGGAGGGTAATTTGCGTCTTGGAAAAGACTTGAGAGAATCACAACTCCAAATTGCCAACTTTTCCAATCTCGACATCAACATACTAGTGTTGCTGCTACTACTTCCATCCATCCTCCTCATCATTGCATTAGGTAATGACTCAAAAGCTTCACATCTCACAAGGCTAAGATCTTTAAGATTAAAAGGCAAGAAGCTCTATTCTATTTCTGCCCCTTCCTCCCACAAACAAGTAAGATCGTTACACTATCCAATGTACAAAGTCTCAAGTGCTGGCAAAGACTGTGTGAAATTCTTAGGCAAGCTAGTCAACCTTGCAATTTCCTCAATTCTCAAATTAGAAAGTGAGGTGAGATCACCCATACTCTTCAAAAGCATTGCATTGCACCTTCTAATATCTAGCTCTTTAAGTGAGGAAAAGATGCAAGGTATTTGCCCCACCAACTCAGGACAATTTTCAATCACAAGCCTCCAAAGACAAGGGAATTGACCTTCACTTGGATAAGCCCATATCTCCCAATTTAACATGTTTTCAAACTCCAGTACCTCTAGTAATGGAAAACAGTCATGTTTCCCATAAAACTCAAAACCTATAGCTTTTATTACCTCCATGCCTTTAATAATCAATTTTTTTGAGAACAAGTAGTAGACCAAGTGATGGTAATAAAATGCACCTCTTAGAATTGCTGAGCTCTATGGATGATAAATTGAAAAATAATAATGGATCACACACCCAAGGAGGGAATTTCTCACCACCATAGCAAGAAATTTTGAGACTTTTCAAATTTGAATGAGGTTTTAACCAGCTGAGGACTTGCATTTGAAAGAGTAATTGATCTCGATCATCATCAAGAGTAGTCCACTCCAAGACTAACTCTTCCAAACCATGGATCTTGTCTATGTTGGCTTCTTTAGCATCTTCAACATTAAAGACATTCTGCAGATCCAAAATAGACAGTTTTCCTTGAAGTTGTAACAAGTTCTTCAAATCAGATAATCTCATCAATTCACTTGCCTTCCCAACAATAACTTTAGACAATGTTAAAAGATTTTTAAGATTGCTTGTTCCTGATGGCATTTTTTTTAAAGATGGTGTATCACTAATATCAAGATAAAGGAGATCAACTAGATTCCCAATTGTGGCATGCAAAATAGTAAGCTGATGACAACCACATAATAGTAGTGTTTGCAACAAGAGAAGAGAACCCACTAATTCAGGTAGATATTTGATTTTTGTACGAGACAAATCAATATACCGAATATGTTTCAAATTTTCAAAAGAATTTGGTAGCTTGCTTATCTGATAACCACAAAGAGATAGCACTCTTAAACTATTTAAAGTTGACTGTAAATCATGCAAGCTTACATTAGACTTCATCCTCATAATTGAGCTCTTCTAGTGGAAAGAATGTTCTCAAATGCTTTAATTTATTCAAGACTATGAATTTTTTTGAGATTTCATAATGGTGTGGAATTTATTTGCTTCTTTCCATGTGATTGTTGTTGTAACAGGCCTTCAACCATCCATAATAGAATCAACTTCTTTTCAACAAATTCATAGGCTTTAGGGAACAAAGCACAATAAGCAAAGCATCACTTTAAGTGAGAAGGAAGATGATTGTAGCTCAATCTTAAAGCAGGAGCAATTTTGCTTCTATGTCTTGCTATATGCCATATCTGTAGTATAAAATCCCATTTAGCACGATGTGGCTTCCCATGCAAGGGGCCACCAAGGGCTTTTACTACCAATGGCAATCCTTTGCACCTTCTAACAAGTTCTTCACCAACATATTTTAAATGTGGGTGCCCATCAAAGTTCTTTGCTCCCAATGCATGTTGTGTAAATAGTGACAAACATGCATCATCTTCTAGCAATTTTAAACAATATATTCCATCATTTCTTCCCATTGTCTTACCAACCTCCTTGTTTCAAGTTGTGACAATTATTTTACTTCCTAGTGCTCCTGACATCAAAGGTTTCTTCAACACATTCCACTGCTCACACTGCTCATTCCAAACATCATCTAATACAAGAAAAAACTTGTGCCCAAATAACTTGCACTCCAATTTCTCTTGAAGCAAAGTAAAATTTTCAAAATCACATTTTCCTCAGTTACATGTTCTAAAATGTTGTTATTCGAGGAATATCAAACTCATCAGAAACACAAACCCATGCCTTCAAGTCAAACTTGCCTTCTAGTCTTTGGTCATTATAAATGAGCCGAGCAAGAGTTGTCTTGCCTAGTCCACCCATTCTGACAATGGGAATAACAAAGTCTTCTTCAAGACTACCTCCATCTTCTAGCAACCTCTGGATAATAATATCTATATCACTATCTCGCCCCCATAGCTTATCTTAAAGAAGAGCAGACTTAAGTAGTCTTTCAGCAATTACTCTGTGAGACTTATCTTCAACTTTCATAATCAAAGGGATTAGGCCAAAAGTATTCACCTCCTTTTCAATATGTTGCAATCTAACATTCAGATGATTCACCATGGGAATGATCTCTTGATTGTGCTTGGCATTACATCTAAATAAATTCTTGAGACTAGATTTGACTTTCTGCACTTTGCTGGCGCTAGCTTTAAGTTCTGCATCCAATTGGGACCTCTTGGCATCAATCACAAACTCTTCAAGTATGTCCTCCATATCATAAGCCAAGTCCCTGAGATCATCAAGACATGACTTCACGAACTGATTGGCAACTGGATTTTCTTCTGCATGTTGAAGTACAGTAGTGATTTTGGGCAAAAGAGACTTCTAGTTCTCCATTTGACCACGTGCTTCCTCCTTTAAATTTTGTTGATCACTTAGATATCCATCTAACTTTTTGAATAACAAATCAAATGTAGTAGATAAAAGAGCACCAAATAAGACCTCCATTGGATAAAACAGCTTTTCTACAAAAGAGAGAGAGAAACAGATTAAAGTACAACTTAAACTAATCTATTAAATACCACACATACACTTAACTATCATCAAATTAGTCTTTTATCCTAATGGATTGATTTAATTAGTTTCAGGTGTTGTATTTATTGCTAATATCAAGATAATTAAATCTAAGTATTATAATGCTATGTTTGGATAAATTAAGGATTAAGAAGGGCTTTCATATATAAGACACTACTAGAAAACACAGTATAATCGACAAAAAATATTGTCGATTATACAAGTATTTCTGTCGATTATATCTTAATCGACAGATATAATCGACAACAATTTTTGACGTAAAAACAACAATCGAAAATGATTATAATCGACAGAAATTTTTTCTGTTGAATATAATTATATAATCGACAGCCAATGGCTATCAAATATACTTGATAAAAAAATAAAAAAATACAAAATTTAGTAAAATCTAGAATTATATTTATAATTTTTCTATTAATTAAATTATATAAAAATAATAATAAAACCAAATTCAACACAATTATCAAACCCCCCAACAATATATTTATGAAATAATTTTAAGAGTTATATAATATAAGAAATAGTAGATAAACATAAATAAAACTAAAATAAGAATTCTAACCTTAATTAGTTTTTGGTCAATATC